ATCAGAGGAATCGCGGAATCACAGGCTACCGCAATGCATCCCGCGTAGTCCTCTACCATTTTGTTGAACTCTTCGTTGTCAGTTTTTGAGGCGATGGTTTCAACTGTGATATTTCGTTCAGAGAATTGCTCCAGTAGTTTATTTTTGAATTTAGGCCAGTTTGCTTTATTAGTATTGTATTTCTTTGTAGTGGTAAGATTTCCTTTCTGAGAATCTCTGTTCCCGGTAATCCGGTCTCACGTATAGTTACAACGGCTGCCCCACCCTTCAAACCGAAACGCATTACTGCTTCACGGCAGAAATAGGCAGGGTGGTGGCAACCACCCGCGCGGACTCACAAGAAGTCCTACCACCAAATAATTACGTAATTACGCAAATTATAATTTTGCGGGTTTCATTTTTATTACACGATGTTATTCCTTCACCGTGGAAATCAATCGTGAACATATTTTGTTGAGTACGTATTTCATTAGAAAAATAGGTACCCGCCTGAGATTCGAACACCGGTGCATCACTCAACACGAATGGACCGGACGTCTTATCCGTTAGGCCACGACGATTTCAAAAATCAGCTCTTAGGCAGGAAAAAAAAAAGATATTTCGGAAGCATATTCCCAAATTGTATATCTTCTACAACTCAGACTACTATCTTAAAGATCCTCGACTCTAAAATTCCTAAACTGATGTCGAGTAAAATGTGTTTTTCTGTTGGAGTCGGCCAGAAAGTTCATAATCCTTATTTTCTAAGGCCCTTATTAGCATACGCTTACAGCGCGACCTCGGGTTCAATAGAACTGATGTAACTTTGAATAAATTGACTGTTTCGGGGATTTAGGACTGAGTAATATTGGCGGAATGTTTGATAAAAAACGTTATTTGAGGCAATCCTGACGAGGTTTTGTTCGATACGTACAGAAGGACGGGTGAAAGGTCCTTTGGTATAAGCGACATTTTGCTTAATACGCGACATTTTGTAACTATAGGTCCGTTTTTGTTGGTATTTAGCATCAATAATTAGATATTTTTAATTGAATTTCAATTAAGCTTACTCCATTCAGTTAGCTGAAGAGGCATTTTTTTGTTATGATATATTTTCCAAAATTTTAACCTTAAATGGCTCTCTTGTAAAGTTGCAAAAATGTCGCATAAACCAAATAGCCCTCAATATAATCTTGGATCATGTTTAAAAGCCATGCAGTGCTTACTATGAAGCTACTTGTTAATTTAGAGCTCCACCACTTACGTCATCATCCATTCATTGTATTAGAATAAACAGCATGTTTTTTACTGATTTTTTTCAGGTATTAAATGTTCTTTAATCAAACTGATACATCGCGCCTTGGGCCTAATCTATCAATAGGTCCAAAATTTGGTAGGCAGCAGCTTGGCTCTGCTCCTGGCATTGCTGAATTCCATGGGCGACGGTAACCACTCACCATCAGGTGGGCCGTATGCTCATCTGCCTACAAGGGCAATAAAAAAAAATCATCAAAAAATCGAATATTAAACGACACAGGGCAAAATAAACTTACTAATATTTTTTGTGTAACAAACTGACTAAAAATATTGAAAAACATTAAAGGTTTTTCCAACTCAATCCACTTAATAGCTTTTGTATATTAACAAGTTCCTAAGAACTTGCCAATAAAATACGAAAAATTATAATAACCTTGAAAAATTGATCCAAGCAAATTGCGTTCTTAAACACCAAACTCTAGTGCCCAAAGAATTTACGTCCTGATCTGACGTACAACAAAGGCTAACAATGTACCTCGTCAGCAGAAGACGTATTTTGTAATAGAACTATAAAAGACATGGCACTCTGCGAACACGCAATGTACTTTGTCTCCAATCTGATGGATTTAGGTCAAATCGCAATATAAGTTGTATAAAAAAACCACTGTCTATGGTAGCGTTGAATAAGTGTTAATTTATATAAAAATAGCGACCCGTCCACGCTTCGCTTCGGGAACTGTAATTTACTGTTGATCTTATTTATTTATTTAATATATTTTGTACGCACAGCTGTTAGAAGAAACACGACAATAAGGCTATAGAGTACAAGGGCACTACTTATTTCATGTTGAAATCTCTTCCAGTAGGCCCGCAAAAGGAAAGAAGAATTAGGAGCACAAACCTAATGCATACAGTAAACATTACTTAGAATAATATGCCTATATACATATTACAAGATACAAAACAATATATATACATACAAATACGCACACACACACACACATATATATACTTATATATATACACACATAGTTACTATTGTTGATCGAAGCACACATACCTACATATACTTACTTTATATTATAATACATTATTCAAATATATTATTATATACTTTTATTTAATATGGTAAGGAATGAAACTTAATGATTTTTATATCTTCATCTTTCATGATATCGGGAACTCGGTTGCATATTCAAATATTTGCCCAAATGTACTGTAAAAGACAAAGTTTGTATACTTTAATTACCAGATGCGATAAAAGTATTTATTTTCATATAAGAATCAAACACATAAAAGAGAGATATATTTATGCTGCCGCGGACTTTTTTGTAGAATTATTTAAGATAAAAATTTCCATAATACATTAAATACGTCTAACTTCAACGGTTTTTGCAGCGCACTCTAGAATACATCGCAGATGGTAGATTTTTTACCTACTTACTTGACACTTATCGTTATATTTTGGGTAATTCACAATTTTTTTTATTTTTTTTATTTTTTTTATTGCTTAAATGAGTGGACGAGCTCACAGCCCACCTGGTGTTAAGTGGTTACTGGAGCCCATAGACATCTACAACGTAAATGCGCCACCCACCTTGAGATATAAGTTTTAAGGTCTCAATTATAGTTACAACGGCTGCCCCACCCTTCAAACCGAAACGCATTACTGCTTCACGGCAGAAATAGGCAGGGTGGTGGTACCTACCCGTGCGGACTCACAAGAGGTCCTACCACCAGTAAAATGCTTTATTTTATTTTATTGCCCTTGTAGGCAGACGAGCACACGGCCCACCTGGTGGTGAGTGGTTACCATCGCCCATGGACTTCAGCAATGCCAGGGGCAAAGCCAAGCCGCTGCCTACAGAAATACCTGTGATACCGCGTGATACCACTATGCCCCTTTATAACTTACCCTCATTTGTTCCGTCTGTTTTATCTATCTATACGCCAGAACGTAATATTCGCAAACTTTAAGATATCTGATGAAGAAAAAATGTCCACGTATGAAAGATATAGACAGAAGACAGAAAGATAGAAACAATAATTTAGGGTGCTACCCAGACTAGCATAATCATTTTTGGGGGAAATAACAAAAGTATTTCACACAGCGGGTAGATAAAGCGACGGTACGAATTTTGTAGTTCAGAACTTGCAAACATACAAACTTATTAAAAAAAATATTGTTAGCGCAATTGAAGTTTTTGTCCAATATCATCTGATTAATAACCACAGCCGCTACAACCAGAATAAAAAAAAATGTTTGATTTTTACTCCGGTTCGCTAGTAAATCTTTTTTGGTTAGTTTTTAAACTAAATATATGTTTAGTGGACCGTTTTCGCAGTAAATTTCAAACGTGACATTTGACACGCCATCCGGTCTCCACTTTTTGATTGAATATGCAACCAAGTAGCTTGAATTCAAAACGCAACCGAACTTAAAGACCGTAGGTAACAAATTATATTAAAGGCAAAACGGAAACAGTTCGAGGCCTAGTGATTCTAGAACAGTGCACGCGTCCAAGAGTTATATGTGGCAGTCCTAAGTGCGTACGTATATGCAATTATTCATTAGCTTAATCGTAGACGTACATCGGGGACTTAGGAACCTTGCTGGACAAGTTCTGTATCCATTTCCGACCGGGAATCGATTGATGTGTCCATACCCAGGGTGAGTGTCATAAAGCTAACTGGCTATACCAAAATTACCGAGCTGAGAGCCAAGTTTCACATGCGTTTAGTAACACCATCCCTCTCTCTATTCATTTAAATCGAAAGAATCTAGATTTTTGTTAAGGCGCAGTCTCCGTTCTAGAATTATCCTAAGGAATATGGGGAAAGTATCCAATTGATACTTAATCATTCCCGATTCTGCGGACAGAATGGAAATCAGTCCACGTCACCCAAAACACGTCATTTCGAATCCTCCCGATCCACTAACGGTGCTTTTAGGTACCTCAAGCACCGGTCATCGTTCTCGTCGAACCCGTCGTTTGCGACGAAGGGCTCGACGAGTAAATTAACCCAAAGATATGGCTCACTGAGTTTCTTGCCGGATCTTTTCAGTGGATCGCGTTTGCGATCCGGTGGTAGATTCTGCGAAGCACGCCTCTTACTATGGTTCGTGTTAGCAACGTCGTCAGGTTTGAGCCCCGTGAACTCACCTACTAGTTAATAGGAAAAATAAAATAAAAAAGACACTTAGGCCTTGTGTCTTACGATGAATGGAGGCATTCACGTCGTGATGTCCATGGGCTCCGATAACCACTAGTGAGCCGAGAAATCGATCAAATGTCTCTTTAAAACAAGGTTTTCAGTGTGAACACTTTAATTTTATAACAACAAAAATAGCACTTCGTTTTATTCTTTGATAACTGATATCACTGATTTCTGTTATTTTAAACGCATTAAGTTTTGAATGATTTGTGACGAGTAGTCAATAAATTCCTTTAAAGTCTACAACTATTTCACAATCATAGTCTCCCTAAAATCTCTGGAAGCCAGAGTGTCTCTCATGAATTATTAATTGGATACATCGAAGATTCTGGACGTCGCGTGTCTGCAACGATGTTCTTGCCCCGCAAGCTGTTGTATTTCCACTCCAAGATATTTGCATTCTACCCGGTGGCTTACCAGAGTGAGCATTTTAAGCCGACTTCCCTATTAGACTAATACGTATAAAGTCTAATTGCTATAACTGAACATTTTAAATTGGGCTATCAACTAACTGGGTTAAAAGAAAAGAAATTAAAACCAAAGATCTTATATTGGATTGTTTACTTAGTACTATTTCGTTACTATTGCTACTATTCGTGTGATTTTGGATCCAATACTTTGTTACTCATTTGTCGAAATCAATCAAAAACATTTTCCATCCTTTAAGAGTTCTTCTATGAGCTTCTTGCATTCCATTCTCTTTAGTTTTCCCGAGTGCGTATGCGGCAATGAATCCACGAATGCAATGCCTCCGTGCAATCTCTTGTGATCGCTTAGTGTTGCTGTAAACAAAAATTATGTACAGAAGATAATAATAATAATAAATAAATAAATAATAATAAATATTTACTAACAATCACGCCACGTTAACTGGTCCCGTGATAAGTTCCTAAAGAACTTGTGTTACAGGTACCAGATAACGGATATAAATGTAACATTTTTATTATACACATACATATATTTAATATACATCCATAACCCTGGAAAAGACAGGGACTTCCCGCCAAGGGAAGATATTTATCATACAAATATTTTTCCTTGGCGGGATTCGAACCCGCGACCCCCTTGTGTAGTGACCATGTCACTTACCACTACACCAGACGGCCGTTTGACACAGTAGTACGTATTCTGTAGTAGTAATAAGGACTCCATCGAACGGTTGTTCGTGCAAGGGAAAGTTGAGGGCAAAAGATCTCACAGACGATCTCCAACACGATGGACCGACCTTATAAAATCAGTGACTCACTCCAACATAAATGATTGCTCTCACTCTGCGAAACATCGTGCCACATGGCGTCGCAAACGAAATTAAGGAATACGGAAGCCGTCACAATTTGCCATTTCTTAACCCCATTAATAATGTACACAAAGATTACGTAAAATGTATTTGCTTACGGTATTATTTGTGTACAATCTAACTAACGAAGTTTTTGTGTTGTGGCGACAGAAAAAAAATTGTACTAGGATTAATTTTAATTTAGTTAAATAGTATTACTAATAAAAGTTTATCGTCTGATTTTGACAGCCTGATTACCCTAGAAATAAATAAATTATAGCTATAGGCTCTTTGAAGAAATTCTACGAATCAACACGGCTTTTAATGTGTTTTTATTTTAATTATATTAAACTAGCGACCCGCTTCGCTTCGGAAACATGAAATTTTATTATTGATTATTTACAATATCACATTAGAAACCTCAAAAATAACAGTATTTCTCCACTATTTAATGGATGTTATTATACATAATATAAACCTTCTTCTTCAATCACTCTATCTATTATATTATATATAACCGCATCCAAATCCGTTGCGTAGTTTTAAAGATTTAAGAATACATAGGGATATAGGGACAGAGAAAGCGACTTTGTTTTATATTATGTAGTGAAGTGCGCTCCTCAACCTCGCGGCCTTTTTTTTGTGGAGTGTGGAGAAAATCACCGAATCCTCACCCGCCGTTGGGGTATATGGGAGTTGAACCTCGCCAAAAACGCCTGCCGCTCACAGCCGGCGCCCGACCTTGGACCGTGCCAGAGCCCAGTCGGGGCTATTGAGACGGCGGGACATGGTTGACGAAGATAATATTACATATTACATCCGTCCCGCCGTCACGCAGTTGCCGGACCGGCGGCCGCCAGCGACACGACCACAGGTCCCCTCGGTCGACGGGCCGGAAGCCCGCCTTGATGGCGCCGCGCTTCACCTTCTCCCGAAGCGGTCGGGGGAACGCGGCCTATCATCACCCGGCTTCCTATTACAGGCAAGCGTACTGGGCACGCCACCGCACACCTGTATACCTCCCCGTACAAAGTGGGCGGAACCCGAAGCTCTTAGTGGGCCAGGTCACGAATGGGACCCCGATCTCGACCCACTGCTCGGCAGCGGCGGATTACCGGATTTCTGCGTAGTAGCTTTGCCTCACTCGCACCGCCACCTCCTTCTGCGAGATGGTGCACTCACAGAAGTCGAACATGAAGTCGTCGTGGCCTAACGGATAAGACGTCCAGTGCATTCGTGTCGAGCGATGCACCGGTGTTCGAATCTCAGGCGGGTACCAATTTTTCTAATGAAATACGTACTCAACAAATGTTTTCCACGATTGATTTCCACGGTGAAGGAATAACATCGTGTAATAAAAATGAAACCCGCAAAATTATAATTTGCGTAATTACTGGTGGTAGGACCTCTTGAGAGTCCGCGCGGGTGGGCACCACCACCCTGCCTATTTCTGCCGTGAAGCAGTAATGCGTTTCGGTTTGAAGGGTGGGGCAGCCGTTGTAACTATACTTGAGACCTTAGAACTTATATCTCAAGGTGGGTGGTGCATTTACGTTGTGGATGTCAATGGGCTCCAGTAACCACTTAACACCAGGTGGGCTGTGAGCTCGTCCACTCATCTAAGCAATAAAAAAAAAATAAAAAAAATTGCCTTTCAGGACTCGTCCCCGTCAAGCATTGACGCCTCGACGCCAAGGAGGGACAAATCCGGTCCTATAAGCTCACGGCCTGCCGTAGATATGGACGCCACAAATGTCTCGCCTTGAGACATTAGGTTGAGATCTTAATAGGACCTCTTGTGAGTCCGCACGGGTAGGTAGCACTACCCTGCCTATTTCTGCCGTGAAGCAGTAATGCATTTCGGTGTGAAGAGTGGGGCAGCCGTTGTAACTATACTGAGACCTTAGAACTTATATCTCAAGGTGGGTGGCGCATTTACGTTGTAGATGTCTATGGGCTCCAGTTACCACTTAACACCAGGTGGGCTGTGAGCTCAGCCACCCATCTAAGCAATAACTAAAAAAAAAACTAAAAAAAACCAGAACTCAGAAATAACTTACTGGAGAAATAGACAATAATCTTGTACTTACAGTCTAAAGCCTTATTAATATATTCTCTAGTAAGGTCGTATTCTGGTAAGAGGACTACAGCTGCAGCAGGTCCGTTATCAGTTGCCACCACCACGCTCTCGTGTACTCCTGGTAATTTACCGATGACACCTTCAACTTCTTCCGGAGACACCTGTAGGAAAATTTAATGGTTTTAAAAGTTTCAATACTGACCAATGAAATTGATTTAGGTATATAGATGTTAAGCATTCGGACAAAATTCAACAAACGTATTCGTCGTGTTGTTTGAATGTTTACGTGATATAAAAACAGAACCTTCAGCCCACAAGCTGTGCTAATTACTACATAGTATATGCTATCAATCATGAACACCCGAGAGCAGTATATGCTAAGTATATAACAATGATTTATGTACTACAATGATGAAGGAAAAAATTCGCCTTTTCGCATTAAAAGTGTACAATTTCCAAAAATATTCGAAATTGAATTAATATGCGTAAACATTTGGTATCACCAGTATTTTTCTCATAAATACTGTCAAAAGGGCGTAGTTTAGTTTTAGTTTTTTTTTAGTTCACCTATATTTTGACTACTATTAACAAAATTAATACATTGTTACTGGTGGTAGGACCTCTTATGAGTCCGCGCGGGTAGGTACCACCAACCCTGCCTATTTCTGCCGTGAAGCAGTAATGCGTTTCGGTTTGAAGGGCGGGGCAGCCGTTGTAACTTTACTGAGACCTTAGAACTTATATCTCAAGGTGGGTGGCCCATTTACGTTGTGGATGTCTATGGGCTCCAGTAACCACTTAACACCAAGTGGGCTGTGAGCTCGTCCACCCATCTAAGCAATAAAAAAAAAAACATTATTTTATCTTATTATACTAAGACAGATAATGTATAACTGGTAAAAAATATAAATAAAATGTTGCAAATATGATTAATATTAAAAATATTATATGATATACCTTTAAAACACTCTCCTGTAAAATTAGTAAGTTTTGAGATTATACAGTTTTAATGCGAGAAGACGAATTGTGTAACAAAAACATCACGAAGGTGTGCATTGTGGCGGAAATGCGGGCTTGACGTTAACCATTTGAGGTCCAGAGTGCCCATACGTATTGGACATCTATTTTTTTACTGGCAAGTGTTAGACTCCCTACACCAGTTGTGAGGGCGTTGACGATGAGAATCTTTGTGGGGGTGAGAAATAATAATGTTATAATAGGTACAGCTAGTGTATTATGTATATAAATAATAATATACATACGTGACACCCCCGGAATTTGAAATTGAATTTCCTCCTCTCCAAAAAGTGAAGGCGTTCGTTCTCATCCAAATGGAACCAGTCTCCCGTTTTGTACCAATCGTCCACAAAGGATTCGCTGTAGGCTTCTTTATTTTTGTAATAGCCCTGGAAAAGAATTACCAGAATCATTATTTAGATCCAAAAATGCTTCGACCTAAAGATGGACAAATGGAATAAAATCGTATAAATGTGCCTACATCTAACGACTTTACAATATTAGAACCGTCAGTCTTCCAAGAAAAGACACCTTCTCGATCTAGGATCTGCCCTAATTAGTCTTTCCATATCCAGCTATAAGAAATATATGTGTATTAACACGGCATTCTTACTTATAACACCATACTAATTTTCTACCATCCATGCCTACTCTAGTGTGCCTAGCTTCCTACTTCCTAACCTCAAGTTCCGATCTTAAGTACAGGTTAAAGGGTGTGTTACTAGCCTGCACGGGGGAATTCCACTATCCTGCCTATTTTACCATAAAACAATGCGTTCCTGTACAGTAGAGCATCGGCATTGTTTACCCAATTCAGAGATATAAGTAATAGTAATATATATCCAGAGATATAAGTTCTAAGGTCTCAGTATAGTTACAACGGCTGCCCCACCCTTCAAACCGAAACGCATTACTGCTTCACGGCAGAAATAAGCAGGATGGTGGTATCTACCTATGCGAACTCACAAGAGGTCCTACCACCAGTAATTACACAAATTATAATTTTGTGTGTTTGATTTTTATACACGATGTTATTCCTTCACCGTGGACTTAATATATAAGTTTTAATACCTTAATGACACATTCGCCTTTAACGTAAAGTTCGCCATTACTCCCTGGACCCACTTCAGCGCCATTATCATCGATCAACTGCAAATAATACAATAGATAACTTTTCCAAAAATATATTACCTACTGTAAAGTTTCAATGGTAAGATGGGAATTTAGAGATTTTAATCTTACGTCTCAATGCAGTGCGATAAACACGTTGTGATAACTAGGGCATCTGGTAACAATTCAACACTAACAGAACCATGATCTCATCCACTTACAAAAGCATTATAAATGTCTAGATAAGAAATTCAAGTCATAGATGATCTGATATTCTGAATTTTGTTTCCAGTGTGTTCTGTGTGTTTAGTGCGAATTTTTTAACGTTCTCGATAGCGTAAAAGTTAACTCATTGTATGCAGTTTGGAACAACGCCCCTAGCGACAAACATAGGCAAAGGTTCCAACTCCATACAAATTTGAGTTAACTTTTACGCTATCGAGAACGTTAAAAAACTCGCACTAAGCACACTGATCTAGTTTCATTTAAACTAACGGCAGGATGTTTCTTGCATATCTATACCAGATACATCAATATTAACTATTTCTGCAGAGAAGCAAACACGAAAACCGGTCTTAAAACAAAGCAGAAGATTTTCGACAACGGCAATCAAACTCTTTATAGTTCTGATTAGACTTGTTTGTGATGTTTAAAAACAAATGTTGACTCCGTGTGTTCCGATTTCGTGATTGAGGGAACATGATTTTTTTTTTTTTTTTTGTTGCTTAGATGAGTGGACGAGCTCACAGCCCACCTGGTGTTAAGTGGTTACTGGAGCCCATAGACATCTACAACGTAAATGCGCCACCCACCTTGAGATATAAGTTCTAAGGTCTCAATTATAGTTACAACGGCTGCCCCACCCTTCAAACCGAAACGCATTACTGCTTCACGGCAGAAATAGGCAGGGTGGTGGTACCTACCCGTGCGGACTCACAAGAGGTCCTACCACCAGTAATTACGCAAATTAGATATTGATACTGATTTATCACGAGTACTTAAAGCTCAACAATTCATTGTTACCTTGTAATGTAAAATATTATACACCCATCCATTCGAGCTAGCCTCCGCGTCTCTGTCGGTCACAGCGATGAATCCTTGTGTCTCGGTGGTCCCATATCCATTACATAAATGTGTATCTGGGTGTAGTTTCTCCTAGAAAACATATTGTTATACCGGTAAGAGTAACGCCATCTAGTAGCACCTAGAACGCTCGAGAAGTACAACGCCATCTATTGTCAGATAGAGGAAGCACAATACTCGAAATGTGTGGAATATTCTCGATGATTCTAGGGATTTCGTCTCGACTATAAAAGAGTTGCAGAGATGGCACGCAGTCAGCTAGTAACCGTAACTACTCGAAGAGAAAGAGCGAACGGATCACTTGAAGCGAAGCGGAAGAAGCGATTTGAGAGTTTTAAAGTGTTCTAAGTATTGAATACAGTTTTTAGTTGTACTTTAGTGGAATTTGATTTATCCCGAGCCCCAGCGCGTAACAACATTTTCAATGAGAGAGCAGTGGATATTGGGCTTTTTGTAATCCCGCACCTGTTGCTACCAGACAGTTTTTGGTGGTGCGCCTCACCAAGGTGGGTGGCGCGTTTACGTTGTAGATGTCTATGGGCTCCAGTAACCACTTAACACGAGGTGGGCTGTGAGCTCGTCGACCCATCTTAGCAATAAAAAAAAACTATGGTAAAAGGCCACAAAGAAATTGTCCAGAAAATGGTCAACATTATGGCACGTATTATGGTACCCGTGGCGATTATGGCAATGGCGATTATGTCTTGCCTATTACCCTAACATTTTATGACATCATCTTTAATAAGAAATATACTTAGGTACCTTCATCCCAGAAATAATTATGAAAACTTCGTTAAAAAAAGTTTTATAGATGTAAAGTAAAAAAAAATGAAAACATAGCATAACAAAATAAAATAACTTTGCTTACCATCAGTAAAATGATGATGGGATGAGTGGGTGATGATATTATATGCATATTTTTTTTACTACGCACCTTGAATTCTTTAACTAAATCAGGAGTAACAAGAGATCCGAGGAGTATTATGGTCTCCAAAGATCCTATCTGTTCGCGCCTGACGACCGCCAGTAAGCCTTTCGCAAAAGCTGGATTGAAAAACGTCCAAGTCGGCTAGAAAATTAAAATGGAGCTTTCGAATTTCGGAACGAACTGAATGCAACAATAATTCTTATTTTATTGGCTGTATTGAAGTATAGCCACGGCCTAGCGTATGTGAAACGGTTACCAGATTCTATAGGTCTTGAAATCGAAGTCTCAAGTAAAAAGTCATCGCGGTCTAAAAGATAAAATGTCTGGTGCATTTGTAAAGAGCGATGCTACAGTGCTGATGCTCAAATTCAGCAGGCAAGTGCCAATTTATCTAACCCAATATGTAGTTCAAGATTAACTTCCACAATGAACGAATAACATCATGAAGTAAAGAAATCAAATCCGCAAAATTAATAATTTGCGTAATTAATTACTCGCAGTAGAGCATCTTCTGAACCCGCTCGGATAGGTTGCACTATCCAGTCTATTTCAACTCAGCGGAATTGATGGTTAGGTTAGCCAGGGTCCCTAAGTCTGTTGTTAGAGCTGAAGGACTCTATTGCAAGGGTTATTCGGTCTGATGGATTCGTAAAGACGTGCCTAGGAATATTTTTGATTACAGTACAACAACCATTGTCACCTACCCGGAAGTTCTCGATTATCTCAATGACATGTTCCACTGTTCTTTTCTTGGGAGTTACCAGAATTGGTATGTGGTAAACGGCGCATGTCGTGATTTTCATGGTAAACGTCATCCATTGCGCTGTCGTCAGTACCATTACCAGATTAGTTGGCGTAGGAAACTTCGTGTGATACGTCCTTAAGGTTATGAAGATAAAAATAAAAAACATTTCGAAAAATCGCAAAAGATATGGCGACGTCTGGTATTATGTGAATGCCGACACTCGCCGAGACGTGATGTTTAAATCTCATTGTAAATATATCAGGCTTCATATTCTTCAGGCCTGAACGCAGAAGATCTATAAAATATTTTAAATATATAAATAGGACCTACTGGCGCGAGCTTATACTCCAGCAATACAGTACAGTACAGTATTGATATGATTACAACTACAGCTGGCTATGTTCGAAGTCAAGTATCCAAGTTAAAGAGTTACAGTGTGTTCTTCAGATGAATACTGAATAGATTCTTCAGCCGTAGGTTCAGATGAATTCAAATCAGATATTCAAGATATCTGTTTCTATATGTGTAAAAAATTCAATACTTGTAAAATACCCGTCCTTACAGACACTGACATAACTTTGACTAGCTATAAAACCTTATACAGCAAACTATTGACCACACGTCATTTGATTTTTTTTATCTTGTAGCCTTATGCAAACAGTATGGTCAATATTTTACGAATGTGTTATCAATATTTCCGCATATAATGAACTTTCTGTAGAACTTTTGGTCATGTTAAAAATCTTACCAAGACGTAGGTAGATGAGCAACTATTCCCCTATTCGTTAAGGGTACAGCTTTAGGTAGTCCAGTGGATCCACTTGTGGGTAGTAATAATATTGTATCCTCTGGATTCCCTTCGGGAATCCTACAAAATAAGCATGGCTTGGTAAATTATAATGAACGTGGCATATCGTAAAATAAATAGCTGGAATTGTGGAGAAAATAATAAAAACCCTTTTAAAACGATTACACAGATTTAAGAATTCGCAAACCAAAACCTCTATAAATGTATATAAATAATATTTCCATGCAGGCCGTTCTATACGAAGCTACGGTGATTAGCTATAACAAAAACTACAGATTTCGGACTTGAAAAACTTCAAATGCACCCTTTTTTGGTGTTTCTAGAAGCTCTAGGAAATTTGAATAATAATAGAAACAGCAAACAAACTTGACAAATCCAGAAAAATCAATCCAATTCACTCAAGATTATTCTTCCTTTTATTTAGTTTACCAAATTTCACATTTAAATTCAGTAGTAGTTTAATTTGAAGCTAATTCACAAAATACTTCGCATACAAATTGACAATTACCATTATTTTCCGTACATAAGTAAGTTGTTTTATCTCTTGACCTCTTTTATAATTTATGAATAAATTTAGCAACTTTCACCTTTCTTTAAACCTTTATTTTTAATAGCCTACCTAAAACTGTCGATGTCGTTACTATGCCCATTTATAAAATCCTCTAGGAGGTCGTCTTCGTTGCCAATGTAAACCTCTGTTTTAAGATCAGGCAAGTCATCTAAAGATTTTTTTATGTCGTTGTAATATTCTCGGTCACAAAACACTATACTTGGTTCGAGTAATTGAAGAAAATAACCGAGTTCATCTGAAAAATAATAATAATATCTGCTACTTTCGATTTTGTGTTTCAATTGTTAACGCACTGTAGCTTAGCAGGCTTAGGCTTAGCTTAGATCAGACGAGGTTTTTACGTGGCACTAAACGAAGCCACTGACGTCCCAAGGTGACAAGGACTTTAAAGCACGGATTCGAAGTCTTAAACAGCTTATGTAAAGGCCATATCTTCAAATAAACATACACGTTATATCTGAAATTCCTGCTTACTCTAAAAATTCAGTTCACAATATTAAAATGAGAGCACTAGGAAGTATAATCACAATATAATAGTGAACTTTTCAACATCTTCCAAATTTAATAAACAGATGACCACTAAACTAAATAACGCTGAATTTTGTGTTAAGTCAGATTTGATATCGACCATAGATAGTTTTAGATTTTTGTTAGTGATTGAGGAGATAAAACTTATAGAGCATTGTATGATGATAAGTATCTAGTACCAAGATTTACCACCAAGTTTTACCATCCAAATTTCAATATCACACGCGCTGATTACATTTAACTAGTTATATAAAAATAGCAGTTCATTGGACTGCCATAGAGGAAACAATATGCCATAGAAAACAGTGGCATAGCAAATTTATCAATAAAAAATATAGTACTTGGAGATTTCTAATTCGTCTACTCACAAACAGTAGTGCTGGGATCCATCATGAAAGGTAAAGCACCACTAAGTAGAAGTGACCAATAGATTGAAAATAAATTTTGATGGTTTCTCATCACCACCATAATATTGTTCCCTGCAGCCCCTCTGGCCGTTATAGAACGTGCAATAGATACAGCGCGTTTCAGAATTTGCTCATTTGTGAAACTTTCTCCAGTCGATCCGTTTATCTGGAACAATAGTGTAAAGTAGAGGAGAAAAGGTCGTTTACTCTTAAGCGCCCAAAACTATGGTGCTAAAGCATATTACAATTCAATAGTGGGTAGCACAATTTAGGTTATTAGTAGCCTATTTAGGTCCCTAGATAGTAGTAAGCACGAGTTTGGTTTCCGGGGAATAACAATCTTTGTTCGATAAAAATTAAGGTCTTATGTTTTATATTGGGGAGCGGTCTGCCATTGCCGGTCCCAAGCCCGGATGAGAAAAGAGGAGGGTTGAGTAGAGCTGGACATTCCTACCGTAAAATGTCAACGCCGAGCACTGGGCGGCGGGAAATAACCCAGCCCTCGGATCCAACCAGAGACACGGGGCGTGACCAGTTGCCGTGAAGGACTAAATCCCTTCGAAATACTGATGTGGAAGGACGTGGGAACCCACCACAATTACATCCCAAGAGAGTCATGGACAGAAAAACATTTAAACTGTTTCAAGGCCATGACCACGACCCTCAGTAATGAGGAAACCGACGCAAGGAGGAGGAGGATTCTCATAGTATTTATCTATTAGCTTTGGCTCATAAAAACCTTATACAAAATCACTTAGTTCAGGGAGACTGAGTTAATCTTTCAATCGTTTCGAAAGACTAACTATATGAACCACATTACAAAAGCCATAAGGTATAATTTTTATTGCACTCTAGCTGACCCGGCAGACTTCATAGTGCCTCAATCGATAAATAAAAGACCTAAACATTTGTATAAAATAAATTTAAAACAAACAAAAGGAATCCGTCCGACGGGGGACACATCAAAGGATAAACAACATTGTTATTTTTATTTAATTCCGAGCATTTTCATATTTATCCATATTTATCTTTTAAACCTTCTCTGGACTTCCACAAATAATTTAAGACAAAAATTAGCCAAATCGGTCCAGCCGTTCTAGAGTTTTAGCGAGACTAACGAACAGCAATTCATTTTTATATATACAGATAATATGGATGCCAGCTTATGCCTCACCTGGTGTAAAGTACTTAACGCCAATCATAGGTATCACATTTCATATTTAAGATATTAAATAATTTTATTTTTGGTATTTACGTACCATGTTTGTGGCGTTTGGTCGTTTCTTTAGACAGTGGAAAGCAATTTCTGCTAATATCAATCTATCCCGCTCTTTTGCATCTGAAACGACACCTTTGGCCGCTAATATTTCATTTAACACTTCATCTAGATACAGTTGAGAAGCGTTTGGCTTCCCTCTTAAAACAGTGTGTGACATTTCTGTAACAAGAAATAATAATGTTAAAAGAAATTATATATCTATACTCAAATTAACATTGATGTATACAAGATATAATGTATTATGACAATTTAATTGAGATTTTGACTTCATGTTTCAAGATGAATGGCCACATTCAAGATATAATCTCTGTCGGCTGCAGTAATTAAATAATAGTCAGTTACATAATAACGTGGAAGTTCCTAGAGATGAAGTAAAAAGCGATAACGTAATCATTTCAAACTAATGTACCTAAGTAAATAAAATACCGGACTTATAAAAAATGAGAAGCACAAATAAAAAGCATCCAATCTATTTCGTGGAACATCTAATTACTGCGATAAACAAGATAGAAGAGTCCGTACTATTGTATTAATAGGATCAGATCTTGAGGATTGCATTTGGTGAATCTAAATGCTTAAAATATAAACCCCTTGAGTCGTTTGTTTATAATAATGTTTTAAACCGGATATAGCTTAGTTTTGTGACGTCAACTCAATAATGACATCATTAATTAATGTCACGTGATCCGTATTAGCAAGAAAAACATTTGACTCCTAGAACCTTTTATTATGGTGTAACACTTTTAGCAGCTGTAAATCACATTCGTTAGTTACGAAGCATCTTTTTTTCCTATCTATGCTGATAGCCTTGAGAGGCTATTTCAGTTTCAGCCTAACGTGTAGGTGAGCTCTCGGGGCTCAGACCGGAAGTGTTGCTAACACTGGCCCCAGCAAGAGCAGTGCTTCGCAGAATCTACCGCCGGATCGGAAACACGACCCGCTGAGAAGATCCGGCGAGGAACTCAGTGGGCTAGAAGCATATTTGATAGCAATGGTAGTTAAGAAATTTTTTGGCTTTAGGCCTTAGGCCTAGGTAAAAGTAGCTTTAATTCGTACTCATTTTATTTTTATTTTATTGCTTAGGTGGGTGGACAAACTCACAGTCCACCTGGTGTTAAGTGGTTACTGGAGCCCATAGACATCTACAACGTAAATGCACCACCCACTTTGAGACATAAGTTCTAAGGTCTCAAGTATAGTTACAGCGGCTGCCCCACCTTTCAAACCGAAACGCATTACTACTTCACGGCAGAAATAAGCGGGGTGGTGGTACCTACCCGCGCGGACTCTCTAGAGGTCCTACCACCAGTACCACCACCAGCTTCTAAAATTTCTGTAATTTTTTTAGTTTTCATTTTCATTTTCTAGCATTTATTTTAAACATATAATTAAATTTGTACATTATATCTAACTCAAAAATGTATTCCCTATTATAGGTATTATATTTACTGTTGATTATAATAATTTTCATAATTTTCAGCGATGAGCAGGGGGTCCGCCCCTCCATTAGCTAATGACCATAAGCGACCTACAACCAAGTCAGCCATTAGCTCGTCTGCCAACAAAGGCAAAAAGATTATTTGAAGAAATAGCAACAGTTCCCCAGAGCACTCTTCATGGGAGTACACATAGAGAACCAAAGCCTCTCTCTCCATTGTCCTAGACTCCAAACGTGCGTTAGTGGCAATATCTTCATCGTATTTTCTAACTCAATCATCTCACTGATTTTATTCTTATCCATAATTCCCAAAACCAAGTCCACGATTCTCTCGGTAATCTTACAATATTACCCATACTACAAATAGCACAATGTTTGTGAAACGATGGTATCCGACACATACGCTTGGTCTGGACAGACCAATCGATCTCCAGTCGGGGATAGATGCGGATTTTGCCCAGCAAGGTATCCTAGGTTCCCGATACACGTCTAGGGTTAAACAAACGAATAATTACACCACATATGTACATACGCACATGGAACTGTCAAACAGAGCTCTTGGACGCGTGCACTGTTCTAGAGCCACTAGGCCTCGAATTGTTTCCATTTTCGTGTAAAAGAATTTGTCACACGCGGTCTTTAAATTTGGTTATGTTTTGAATTAAAGGTATTTGGTTGCATGTTGCTCGGCTCCCGTTTGTAATCGTATCGAAGATTTTGTCAAATGTCACATTTAAAAATCACCGCGAAGACGTTACAATTATTTTGAATCAAGCGGTACCGACTTTTTTATTGGGATAAAGTACATGCAATAATTATAGCAGGCATTGTCAAAATCTGCAGGCAACAGACTCAGACTAAGCACCAAGGTACATATAGTAATATCGCGCAATATATTGTACATGTCGTGGTTAACGACTTTTAGTAATAATAAGACGTTGTTATGACTATTATTTTAAATGATGAAATGTTGTTTTGATAAATATCACAAAATGTAGGGTAGACTCCGTAACGCCACAGTATAAAATGGCGGTACGTGGACAGAGTCGTGGCCCGTCACCCCGATGGAAGTTAAAGACTTGATCAAAGACCTACGTCCTCGCAAGGCTCCCGGTTCCGACGGTATATCCAACCGCGTTTTTAAACTTCTACCCGTCCAACTCATCGTGATGTTGGCATCTATTTTCAATGCCGCTATGGCGAACTGTATCTTTCCCGCGGTGTGGAAAGAAGCGGACGTTATCGGCATACATAAACCCGGTAAACCAAAAAATCATCCGACGAGCTACCGCCCGATTAGCCTCCTCATGTCTCTAGGCAAACTGTATGAGCGTCTGCTCTACAAACGCCTCAGAGACTTCGTCTCATCCAAGGGCATTCTCATCGATGAACAATTCGGATTCCGTACAAATCACTCATGCGTTCAACAGGTGCACCGCCTCACGGAGCACATTCTTGTGGGGCTTAATCGACCAAAACCGTTATACACGGGAGCTCTCTTCTTCGACGTCGCAAAAGCGTTCGACAAA